TCCTGATGATAGAAGTTCCTGTAGATGTGTTCGGACTTCATCGTACATGGCTGGAGGATACGCCTATGTCTTTGCTTGAAAGGAATGGAATTCTCAAGGTCTATCCGATGATGAACTAAATCAGAGTGTCCAAGATCTTCAGCGTGTTTAGAGAAGATGTCCTTAAACTTCATAATGACATCAAGTCCTCTCTGTAATTCATCAGATGTAAGTCCCTCTTTATCTATCTCCCACTTGGTCGAGAAGCGTTGTAGAGTCTACTGGGCAGACCAGGTGGTTGACCTTGGAAGCGTGACTGGCTGTATCTCACAAAGTAAATATCTTGAGTGGTACTACAACTGTCCTGGTTGTTATATTAGATACGTGAACCTCTATGGCATCTGGTCTTGATCCATCATAGGAAATGAGAGTAGGAGCTATGTCAACATCATCTGGCAAATGTGAGTGTAGAGTTGGCTGTAAAAGGGCACAGACGGTTGGTGACCTGAGTCCTCTTGCAATGTACCCTCTAATGACGACATTACTGTTTGCGGGAATGATGACGTTTCTTGTCTCTGCACTCTTAACTAGTCCCAGCTTGCCATCATTCCGTGAAAGATTCTTGTCATGCAAAACTATACTCCGATATGCTAAATACCATGGGGTGTGTAAATCCGCTTTCTGTAAAAACCTGTGTCCATGAGACTTCCTACAATCATCAAGTAAACATCTCAAAATGTTGGTTCCAAGCAAAGCTGGTACACGAGCATTGTATCTTGTATCCGGTACAATCAGGAATAAGCAGTGTACTTCCTCATTTGTGGCAACTCCTCTACCTTCAGCTGTAACTCCAACTTCTATAAATCCCCGGTACGGCAGAGATTCCCCTCCTGCACATTCAATATCTAAGACATCATCCAGTGGCTGTATGGGAATATGCTGCAAGTGTTGAAGATGGAATGATTCTGAGATTACTGATACTGTGGCTCCTGTGTCCAACAAGGCGCTAACTGGTACACTGTCAATGATAATCTCCACTTCATTGGCCGTCCCTACTAATCTTCCTGGTACCTGCTTATCCTTAGGGCTCCCAAGTACACCTATAGGTGGCCCTTCCCCATAGGCCTGGGAAAGTTTAAAGGGTGCCTGAGATGATCCAGTCTGACTCGACATCCACGTGCAATATGGCCAAGATATCCACACCTATAACATCGAGGTGCTCCGCGTCCCTGCCGTTGTGTGTAACTGTTTGAGTATGAACCCGGTAATGACCCAGGTACATCAGAAACATCTCGTCTTGACTGTTGTTGATCCTCTGCAAAATGACCTAGGTCCAAACGCAGACTGATGTGGGAAATATTTGTCCTGTGCTGGCAGAGGGTGTCTGGGATAAGCATCTTCCACTTGTGGCTTGGAAACATCTCCAGGATGTCTGTCGCGCTTATCGTGAGATCTTTGAGTACTGTATGGGCTGTTGTAAATTTGCTGTTGATTAACTTGTGCCTGAACCTGACTCTGTTCCTTCAATTCAGATATCTCCTCCGGATCTCCACCATCATAGCTTTGAGATCTGTGACTTCCTCCTTAGTGGCAGCAGCACTAGATGGATTCAAGGTATTGACCATCTTAGCTGAGGCTGTCTGCTTCTTCACAGGTACTGCGGACTTGTCTCTCCTTAAATCAAATTCTATTTCCCTCAAGCAAAGTCGTAGATCATCAAAGTTGGTGATGGCATCAAACTTGTGAGCGGCTACACCCTTCAATCCAGGCTTGAGGCCATCCCACATACGAGTCCTTAGCATCTCATCCTGTTCATCCTCTGGAATAGACCGGTGCTCTGTTATCTGGTATAACATATTCTCAAGCCTACAACCCCATGCAGTGACATCTTCATTCTCCCTTTGTGAACAACTATAGAAATCAGACATGAGAGTAGCTCTCCTCCTTAGGGTTCCAAAGGCACTCTTCATCTTGGTTAGCAGGATTTCAACTGTAGCATTCCGTCCGAGTTTCATGGCTATGAGAGCAGCTTCACCTTTCAAAGATTTCCTAATAGCCTGCAGAATGACATCGTGTGGGTAGGTCTTAGATTGCAGTAGACAATCAACTTCAAAGCGCCATAAGTCATAGGGAGTGTCTTTACCTACTTCTCCACTGAAGAAGGGTATCTTCGGGAAATAGTGAAATGAAGCAGTTGGCGTCTGTTCTTCCTTGGCTGATGCTAATGGAGGAGGTGGCTTGACGTCGGGTCCCTGGAATGAACCTTCTTGTTTGGACATGTCACTGAGCCAAGTTTTGAAATCTGACGTGCTATCAATCTTTGGTGCCATTCCCATCTTCTCAAATATGGTAAGCATGTTCTTAAGTTCTTCTTGATTGAGTTCCATGGTTCAAGATAAGAAACGTGGCTGTTCTATTTCGGATAAGGCTTTCAGAAAGAAGGAAAGAAGAAACTACCCAAAGTAACTCACGGTTACTAAACGAAAATGCGAAATGGTAATCCAAATGATATTTAGCGCATTCAGAGGGAGATAAACGACATCCACAGTGTGGAATTGTCTGTGGTAATAAAGTATGCAACGCACAAGGTTACAAAAAGGGATTCAGTAATAACTAACTACCAGTAACCAACTAACTAAATACTAACACTAAAGCGACAAGAAGGGAATCAGGAGTAAACGCCCGTCAGCAAGTCCAGAAGCTGAAAGAAAACAAAAGCATTAATGTTTTGCATAATACCTGGAAGGCAACAAGTTGTCTTCAAACAAACTTGATGTGTGTCTGGGGCAGCAGGCTGGAAGCAGCAATCTCAAAACACCAAAGTTGACTCCTGGAAACTAAGTGTGAACTAAACTAATAAATGAACACAATAACTATATGTCACTACAATTAGAAACTAAGTTAAACTGACCTAATTCTGAACCGAGTACAACCCCAACATATCACCAACTAACACATACTGCCCAAAGCGATACAAGAAGGGAGTAAGTATTAACATACAAGTGAAAGGGCAGTGCAGTGGTGCAGCAGTCAATTGTCAACTAATGTGTTGGCTATATGAATGTATAAATGGTTTACCTGTCATGTACTATGCTTAACACTAATATAGTTTGGCAGTATAGTTATATATAGATATAAAGGTGTGTTTTATTTTAATGTTTATTTAGACAATTTATGATATGTAACAAGTACAAGGTATACCTTTATGGTGTAAACAGGATTCAAACTACATCACTTACTCACACACAACCACACTAAGAAACAATGTGACTAAGATAGATGCAAAATAACTATAAAGGAAATTATAAAACACAAACACAGTATATGTCAAGTAACAACTAAATAACCAAATTAATTACATCTTTATTGCTTGGCTTGGGTAAGAACAGAAAATCAAATTAAATCTAAAGTTCAATCTAATATACTAGAAACTATCTAATAACTAAGTGTTGGTACCAACGTAAATGTTACATAGATAAGCCGGCAATGTGAAAGTAAACAAAAATAGCTGCAGCAAGGAATGACCAATACAATGTGATACCACAGTACAATATGTCAGTGTTGATGATATGAGAAAGTCTCTAGAAAAATACACACAATTCACAAGCACCACACAATCTAGGTGTGCTAGAATAGTCCTCACATTGATCTGTATGGAACAATGATCACCTGGCGTGGAATCTGTTGACTGGCTGGCTCTGTTGACTGTACCCTCTTGGCTGTACTGTCCTATGGAATGTTAGGCCTCACTGGGGGCTCCATTTTGTAACCGGGATAGTGAGCGGATGTCAACAAAATTATCCAGGACACTGGTTACAGGGGGTGAGACCTTTTATTCCATTATTAACAACATCCTGAAACAATACACGGTTCAATAAATAGAAAGTCATAATATATACATAAGATTTAAAATCCGTCACACATCCTTTAGATGAAATACTACTATGACACACATTCTAGACAAATAAACTACAAGGGGCGATCACTCCTTGATTTACTGATTACATGTTAATGACAAATATAGTTAAGGTAGAGGCATATAAATCCTATAAACATGCCCAGATAGAAAATATAAAGTATACAATGCTACATAAATACATACAATCAAGCACAATATAATGCCTACCCGGTGTATGGCACTAGGGTGCAGAGTACAGCCCTGTCAAGCCGCCAAGCCAGTCAAGCGTACGTACAATCTGTATAAACAATGAACAACGTTAAAGCTGCAATAGCTTAAACTATATGTATATATTCTGTCATTTCAGACACCTAGGATATAATATAAGCAGTTCAAACTTATATCGCAGTCATATTTACACTCACATACACACTACTATACTTTCTCTCATTTATAAAATCAATCCGTCAAACGTGCAAATATATAACCATTCACTCATAAGATAGAGAAAACACTTTAATGAACTGAATCATTTATTTGGATACTAAAAGATTATTGGATTGCCATTTAGCTTAGTGACCCTAACAAGCTAAACCTAACTTTTACACTTACACACAAGTTACAGTTTATATTTACACATATGCATTAACAATATAACATTTAAAGGTATACACACTGATTAATTGATATAAAAGATTAAACTGACCTGTGGTGATCTTATAAAGTAGATATTCCAACATGGATAAACGTCTTGTCGGTACAAGCAGTGACAGTGAAGTGAAGATTTGAATTAGTAAAAGAGGGCAAGAGTTTGAATGATCCAATCAGATTGGATCAACTGAGGGCACATAATAATGTAATGACCCTACCTAACCACCCTTAATTAAACTAGAATAGCACTGACTACATAGCTATTAATAGACATGCTTTAAGATGAGGGTTCAGTCAATGACATGTTTTATATGCACGCTTAAATGCTTATGATCATAGAAGCAGTGGCGTTCACTATATATACAAGGGTTCAGTCAATGACAATGTTTACATGCACAGTTAACTGATATAGAATCAGATGTGTTACACTACATATACAAGGGTTCAGTCAATGACATGTGTTATATGCACGCTAAGCTGCTGGAGTGAGAATTCTGTCCCTAACACGAACCCATACATCACTGTGGGGATCGGGGAAATCGTCTAGTTGGATGATATCCTCTTCATCTGTTACATTCAGGAGCAGTTCCGGTAGCCGACCATGGTTTACGTCCCCTACCAGCAGCAGGATCACCCTGTTGGGGTTCAGGTTGGATATGTAGTAGGTTGTGGACTTAATGATGAAGTAGGACCAGGGGTCATCTAAGAAATCGTCGGATACAACCAGCACCGTCTTCCAGCTCCTGTTAATGCTTTCTACAACATGGTCAGCTACGAACGGACCAGGCAGGAAATCTCTCTCGGGTAGAATAAGTTTCAATCCGAGTATTTCCTCCAGGCCTATGCGTAGATCTTGCATCACAAACTGAAGCTCTTGATCCGAGTGGGCAATGTATGCATCTTTGTTGAAGTCTTGTCTGTTGACTCGCTGGATTCCTCGACCCATGAAGACCAAAATATGATGAGCAATTCTCGTCCAGTTCCGTGACACCAACAGGGCACACACAATCAGAAGAGTTGTGACACAGATCAGCGAAATGGCCACAGGAAGCCAAAAGCGACCTTGACATGATGTCCAGTGGTAATTGAACTCTTTGTACATTGTATTGGTTGTTGTAAGGACACCGAATTCAGTAACACATGAATAATTCCCATTGCTGTCAAAGGTAACCGACGATGAAAATATCCACTGCACAAACGCGAGAGACTTGCAAGAACAGGAGAAAGGATTTCCCGTCAGCTTCAGAACGAGCTTGTTCTTCTTCCCGAGATTCTCCAGCATCTCGATTGTGTCATCGTCAAAGAAGGTGATGGAATTGACCGACATGTCAAGAATGAGCAGGTCAGGCAGGTCATTGTCTTGAAAAGGGACAGACACTAGGTTATTTCTCGACACGTTCAGACTTCTCAGTGTTCTGAGAGACCCTAGGTCCGTATACCGCAGGTCATTCCCCGCAATCTCTAAGTAACGCAATGCGGGCATGGTCTTTAGTCCCTCAAGCACAGGTCCTCCTTCTATGAGGGTGTCATCGTCCAAGCACATATTGTTCAAAGCGAGATGCGTTAGATTTGGAAAAGACTTCAAAAAAGTCCTCTGTCATCCCCAAACCCTCATTGCCTGAAATATCGAGTTCATTTACAAAATTTAGCCCCTGAATTGGGCTTACAAAACCCCAAGCTCCATTGTAGGATAGATCTAGTTTTTCTAAATGGGAAGCCCCTGTAATACTGGTTATAAAAAACTTCCCAAAATGACCACTGCTTGCCCTTAATAAACAGATACGAAGATTTGGGGGGAAGGGCATACCCACTTCCAAGTTTGATACTGACCTAGTTGTGGACCTCCTGGTAGTAAAAGGACTGTTGTCAGTCTTTGTTACACTGTCTGCTCCAGGGGGTTTAATGTGATGGTTAATTACACTTTGATCAGAAACATCCAAATACAACAATTGTTTACATACATGAATTTCGAAATACGCGAATGCGTCCCCCAGAATGTTGTTTTTTTGACAAATCTATATATTTTATACAACGTGACATCACTGGCAGAAGGGACCTGTCAATGTAGAGGATGTGGTTATAGCGGAGATCTAGATGTTCGATACATATATCTGACAGATGAGTCAACGTTTCCTTGTTTAACAGCTGGTTTTGAAGGTTTCGATTCAGACTTACATACTTGTTGGATTTTTTCAAGAGAACTTGAGATACGTTTTTGCCATTGAGACCAAAGAATGCGCGTACAGCAAGACCTGTTGGTAGGGTCATTACATTTTCCAGGACTATTTTTGAAATATGTTTGAAGGGTAGATATGCTTCAACATCAACTGTCATAAGTTTGCAATCGTGTACATCCAGTACTTGGACAGATGTATTCTCGAAAACGGAAAATGTATGGTTTTGTATGACGGTAATAGCACAATAAATACAGTTATCATCCACTCCAGTTGCAATGTTCAATGTTACTAGTTTCTGCAAATATCCGAATCCACTTCCAAATACGTCATACTGGAATGTGTCGATTGTCAGTGTTTCCAGATTCATTAACCATTTGAAGACCCAATCCGGTGCTGATCCGCTGATGCGGCAGTCGTTGTAACCAATGTTCAACTCTGTGAGACTTTGCAGAGGACTGAAGACGTGTTCAGGATATGTGTCATTATCAAGCTGGAGATTATTGTGATCAAGGTGTAAACTGAGAAGGCGGGTTAACCCTTTAAACGCGTTCGTTTCCAGTCGTGATACTTGGCTGTATGCAATGGTTAAAGACAGTAGTCGGGGAAGACGCACAAACGCGTTGTCAATGAGAACCGTTATGTTGTTCCTGCTGAGATCCAGGCTGACCGTGTTTGGCGGGAGATTATCTGGTACAGACGTGAGGTTGAGGTTCTGACAGTCAGCGCGGACTCCACCCAGCTGAGGGGCTGGCCAGATCTGACACGACTGCTGACAGGAAGTGGCCACAGTTAGGACCAGGATTAGGCCACACGTAATCTTCATTGTAGGGGCGGTGTGAACTCATCTCATGTCTGCTCCTCGGCAGTTGTAGTGAGTCTGGAATGGATGAACAACTTCGTTACAATGCTCCTCGATATCCAAATATCAAAATGCATTAATGAGCACATCACCAAGACGTTTCTACTTGTATGTACGTTGGATTTACTCAATGAAGAATTAATCGTAGATATGACAGGCCGTTTTCACATTTGACTGTTTTCAATTGTTTGAAAGATATCGCTGTTATATTGAAAGACAACAACGATGTTTTGAAGTTATCAAGATGTAATAGAAGATAACTTCAATAATATATGATATTCAAAGTATCATAACTGATATCTTGTTATTGTACTCCATGTACTGTCTTCGACACAAAGGTCATGTTTCAGTACAAACGTCACCGTCAGTGAAGTCGCATCCTCTGAAGTGCCTGTCGCAGATAAAAGTTGACCACTCCAATGGACAAGTTCTGTTTGTACGCCTGGTAATACAAGTTGTAGTGTTGTCATGAGGAGTATACGGGCGTTTATGTGACCCGTGCTTGGTTTTATCCATCGATTCCGAGGCGAGTTCGATAAAACCGAACGAAGGACGCATAAGACCCCATATAGCACCAATCACGATGCTGCAACGAATTTATCTTACCGAATGTTCAAATCTCTCATTATGTAAATACAACATTACAACGAACTGAAATTCAATCATATACTTTACTAACATGGCACCAACTAGTCGATCCGAACAACTGGTTCACGGTTCATTGACTGCCGTGGACGCATGCTTTTTTTTCAGGCGGGGTATAAATGATTTATTCTCCCTCGCAAAGATTTATACCCCGTTTCGGCGCTGTACGGCCGTGCCCCGGGCATACATGGTAATTGGTTCAAGGTCACGTGGACCAATCAGAGATCGAGGCTCTTACATGAGGTAGGATAATATCTGATGTCCAACCGAACTTCGACCACCTGTACACCTCCACCCTGTCCAGCGTGGAACAGTTCTACCACGTGACCTCTGTCCACATGAACTGTCAGGAGATATCGACAACACTGACATCTCTCCTCGGAGGTGGCCATTTCCGGCTTGGGTTCAGATTTGAGAAACATTGGCGTAACAGCCTCTTGGGACAATGTCCCATCAGGTCTTGGAAACGAAAATAGTTCTTTGTTGTGTTGCAGTCCCAAGTTTACCGGGATTCTGGCACAAACATTTTTTCTTGTGTGGCAATACGGAAGGAATCGGAGGAGAGGGGGGAGAGGAAGGTAAACACCGATGACCTTTCAGTAATGAGCATTTTATGTTGTTTGCTATTAATTTTCTCAAGTGTTTATGGCATATCGTGGTTGACCCAGACAAAACGATTTGGGTTGGTGAAATAGACGGTATTAATGACGGAGAAGTCACTCCTTGACATACTTTCAGGCTGACATACAAGTGTTCACAATGTTATAATGACACCGTGGGTTTGGCGAACATTGTGAAAGTAGGTCAGGTCTGTCTGTATGTGTGTGCCTCCCTCTGCCTGTCTGTGTGTGTGTATCCCCCTCTGCCTGTCTGTGTGTGTGTCTGTCTGTGTCTCCCTCTGCCTGTCAATGTGTGTGTCTGTATGACTCTCTGTGAGTGTTTCCCTCTGCCTGTCTGTGTGTGTGTCTCTGTGTGTATGTCTGTGCCCCTCTGCCTGTCTCTGTGTGTGTCTGTCTGTGTCTCCCTCTGCCTGCCTGTGTGTGTGTCTGTCTGTCTATGCGTGTCTCCCTCTGCCTGTCTGTGTGTGTGTCGGTGTGTGTCCCCTCTGCCTGTCTCTGTGTGTGTGTCTGTGTGTCTCCCTCTGCCTTTATCTGTGTGCCTGTGTGTGTCCCCTCTGTCTGTCTGTGTGTGTCTGTGTGTATCTCCTTCTTTGTGTCTGTGTATGTCTGTCAGTGCCCCTCTGCCTGTCTGTGTGTGTCTGTGTGTGTCTCCCTCTGTCTGTATGTGTGTGTCTGTGTGTGTCTCCCTCTGCCATTCTGTGTGTGTGCGTCTGTGTGTGTCTGTCCGTGAGTGTCTCCCTCTGCCTGTCTGTGTGTGTCTCCCTCTACCTGTCTCTGTGTGTGTGTGTGTCTGTTTCTGTGTCTTCTGTTTCTCTCGGTATGTCTGTCTGTCTGCGTGTGTCTCTTTCTCTCTCTCTCTCTGTGTGTGTGTGTGTGTGTGTGTGTTAGTTAGGGTTAAGGTGACATTCGTATATGTCAAGAAACGGCAGGTACATACGCGATTCACCACAGCCACAACATGTCTTTCACTAGACGTACCTGATATCAAGCTCCCTGCATTGAATCCAAACTAATCATCACCGCTATGTGGCCCAGATTAAGTTGAACATGTTTCTGCGTATGACATCCTGCTTTGTGTAGTGCGGCCAGATATCATGTATCACCTAACACCAGCACGTATTACATCCTGCTTTGTGTAGTGCGGCCATATATCATGTATCCCCTAACACCAGCACGTGACGCCCTCAATCATCCAATTGTCTGGCCACCACTCGACTGTTTGCAGCCACCAGGTTTTCTATCTATCTATCTATTTATCTATCGACCTAGTTATATATATTTCTCCAATAATTTGCATTTATGGCAAGTATTTTGACGACGTAAGGTCGGAAAGTATACCAATAAGAAGGGATAAGAGTATTTACCACACGGTGTCTGGAGACCCGGCCCTCTCCCGCACTGTGATAGTGTGTCGTCTCGCAGTTGTATCTCAATAGACTGACACGTTACAGATATAGCACAGACTCATGAGTGAACCACTTCCTTGTTTCTATCTCTGGGGGTTTCCGAATTGGTTGGAACATATCACTACATGTCAACACTGCTCTCTCGGGGAAGTGTTCCTACTCATTAACCAAAAAACCTTATCATGTGATGATGAATTATGACTATTTTCAAGTGCAACAAATATAATTATTATGAAGTGTAGTGGCAATAACGAGGGGGGTCCAGCATTTTGGACAATGTGTGTGTGTGTGTGTGTGTGCGTGTGCGTTCGTATTTGCGTGCGTGTGATTAAGAGTACCCCCTCCAGTGTTAAATAGTACATAACAAGTGTTGACAAGATAGCAGGCGTGGACAGGGATGACGATCTGGATGTATACTTCAGACAGTATTGTTGTACAGCAGACGTCATCCTCGACGACGACCCTGGACGACGATGGAGACATGAATGGCGTGCTGCACGTGAGTGTCATGACGAGCCCTAACGCCATCTAACATGAACGGACACCTCCTTTAAACACCACTCCTGTCGTATCGTAATACGTATAGCAGGGGCGGATCCACTGTGTGTGTGTGTGTGTGTGTGTGTGTGCGTGCGTGCGTGCGTGCGTGCGTGCGTGCGTGCGTGTGCGTGCGCGCGCGCGCGCGCCTGTGTTTTGTCAACACGTGTAATATACTATTTAGCACCAATGGACACTTCTTTAGGTGAGACATGGATTACCATTCTTTTAGGTAGATACCATTGAAGACCGACCATGGAAATGTTTTTAGTTCCCTGTAAATATACTCATTTAATACTTTTCCTTTAGCAGCATGGATCTAATTTGCCATTGTACAATGGACACTTCTTTAGGTAGAGATGAATGACCATGGAAATGTTTTCTGTTCCCTGTAATATACTATTTAGCAGCATGATCTACTTGCTATTGTACAATGGACACTTCTTTAGGTAGAGATGAATGACCATGGAAATGTTTTCTGTTCCCTGTAATATACCATTTAGCAGCATGATCTACTCTGCTATTGTACAATGGACACTTCTTTAGGTAGATATGAATGACCATGGAAATGTTTTCTGTTGCCTGTAATATACTATTTAGCAGCATGATCTACTTGCTGCTATTGTACAATGGACACTTCTTTAGGTAGAGATGAATGACCATGGAAATGTTTTCTGTTGCCTGTAATATACTATTTAGCAGCATGATCTACTTGCTATTGTACAATGGACACTTCTTTAGGTAGAGATGAATGACCATGGAAATGTTTTCTGTTGCCTGTAATATACTATTTAGCAGCATGATCTCCTGGCTATTGTACAATGGACACTTCTTTTGGAAGAGACGAACGACCATGGAAATGTTTTCTGTTCCCTGTAATATACTATTTAGCAGCATGATCTACTTGCTATTGTACAATGGACACTTCTTTAGGTAGAGATGAACGACCATGGAAATGTTTTCTGTTGCCTGTAATATACTATTTAGCAGCATGATCTACTTGCTATTGTACAATGGACACTTCTTTAGGTAGAGATGAATGACCATGGAAATGTTTTCTGTTGCCTGTAATATACCATTTAGCAGCATGATCTACTTGCTATTGTACAATGGACACTTCTTTAGGTAGAGATGAATGACCATGGAAATGTTTTCTGTTGCCTGTAATATACTATTTAGCAGCATGATCTACTTGCTATTGTTTAATGGACACTTGTTTAGGTAGATATGAATGACCATGGAAATGTTTTCTGTTGCCTGTAATATACTATTTAGCAGCATGATCTACTTGCTATTGTACAATGGACACTTCTTTTGGTAGAGATGAATGACCATGGAAATGTTTTCTGTTCCCTAATAATATACTATTTAGCAGCATGATCTACTTGCTATTGTACAATGGACACTTCTTTTGGTAGAGATGAATGACCATGGAAATGTTTTCTGTTGCCTGTAATATACTATTTAGCAGCATGATCTACTTGCTATTGTACAATGGACACTTCTTTTTGGTAGAGATGAATGACCATGGAAATGTTTTCTGTTGCCTGTAATATACTATTTAGCAGCATGATCTACTTGCTATTGTACAATGGACACTTCTTTTGGTAGAGATGAATGACCATGGAAATGTTTTCTGTTGCCTGTAATATACTATTTAGCAGCATGATCTACTTGCTATTGTACAATGGACACTTCTTTAGGTAGAGATGAATGACCATGGAAATGTTTTCTGTTGCCTGTAATATACTATTTAGCAGCATGATCT